TCTTCTGTCAGTCAAGTGCTGCTATTCAGGATTGCTTCTTCTGATCTTTATACCAGCTGTCAGTCCTTTTGGGCCTTGGTGCATTAATTAGGTTTTGTCCATAACAAACCTATTCTCAATGACCTGCACACTTGCCACTTATTTCAGTGCTATTCTAGTTCGCCTAGGGCTTCTAGAAAGTCTCCTGATATCCAGCTTGAGCTCTTATTCTATTTCCTGGTTTATAGATACCAGAAAAACAAACTTGCCCGCTGGATGTCATACGTTCAGTGTTATGACATTCTGTATGACATTCAGCTTAACTAAGTTAACTCACAGTTAACTTACCCTGCACACACGTCATTAAGTATGTCCTAACATTTAGTATGACATACATGCACACTCTAAAGTTTTGCCACAAAATGCAGCCAATCAAGAGCACGTACACTTTTGTGTATTTATCTCCCCTTTTTAATTGTTTGTTTGCTTTTATATATCCTATTATTGTTTTGTTGTGATACTGTTGGGGTTCTCTGGTTGTTGAAACTTTGTGAGATGGCTCTACACCTGAGTCCGAGAAAAGACATAAGATTAGAATTGTGGTTGTATAGTGGAATCCCTCGAGGAGTCTTTCTTGTTAGGAGGAAACGAAAGCCCCGCTTGGAGTTGATTCCCTTAAGGATGTTATTGTTGTGGTGAGTCTTTGCCATGGCAGTTGTGTTTTTGAGGTTGAATCTATAACTTTAAGGACCTTTTACCCCTTTTTCCATGGTGGTTGGTAGCGTTAAATCATGAGGGTCACTCCTTTTTGGGTTGATGCGAACGCCCCAATCAGATGAGATCCCTTGAACGTATCGTTATTCTGACAATGATATTTTCAACCTCGATCTATGACTCTAAGGTACCTTTAAGAAACCTTGGACTCGATGGTTGTGTAGTAGAGACTTGCGAGGAGTCTTCCTTATGGGACGACGCGAAAACCTCACCTAGAAGAGGTCTTTCGAGTGTATTATTATCGGATGAATCTTTGTCATGGTAATAATATCTTTGAAAAGATCCATGACTCTAGGCACCTACCTGTTTAGAGCCTACCTATGGGGTTCCTTTGATCAGAGATATATGTTATTTACCCGTTGTTCTATCTAACCTCAGAATGTGATGGAACCTATGATCCTGTTTGTGCCTGCATTGCATTTTCATGTCATTTCATTAGCATTTCATTTGCATTGCATAATCATTCTCTCAGCCAGTAAACTCATCCCTCCTTTGTCCATAATCCCCAGTTGATTTCCCGACACTCGTATCGGACTTGAAGTAGCTTTAGAAAACCATGGAACCCTTGGAGCATAACCGAGTTGAGCAGGGAAAAGACGCGAACAATGTGAAAGGCAAGATGAAGCAGCTTCCAAAAGTTATAACAACTATGGGGACAAGAAAGGAAAAGCTTCAAGAAGACGCCACAACTAGGAGTTTTACTCCCACAGTTCATTCCGCTCCGCAGCCTACAGTGAATAGCCTATTGTGCGTTGCTCCTCTTAGGTTTTATCCTCAACCAATTCTTCCAAAACCTCGGAATCAACAATCATCACCTATTCTAGATCGGAAAGGCAGTACGAAGTCTCAGTCGCGCCCTATTCTTGAACCTATTCCTATATCGTGTGGACAATTGCTATCATACCTGATTTAGAGTTCATTAGTGGTACCCATATCCCTCGGGCCAGCTCGTACTCCTCCTCCACCTGGATATGATCGTAATACGTATTGTGAATACCATAAAGGGGCTAGAGGGCATTTTATCGAAGGATGTTGGTCATTCAAGAATAAGGTTCGAGAGCTAATTAACAACAAACGCTTAGTCTTTGAGGAAGACAACCCAGGGGTAGAATGTGGGTATCACACTGGAACCATAGGGCATGTCGTTGAAGAGTGTGAAAGCTTTCGAAACAAGTTGCAAAGATTGACCAGAAAGGAAAACCCTAGCTTAAATGGTTCAACTCAGAGATCTGGCAAAGAGAAAGTACAAGAGCTTTGTGGACCAATCAGAATCATGTACCACAAGGAAAAGATTGAATTTTTGGCAAATGAGGTGTCTTTGTCCTCTGATAATCATGTGGAGACCATGATCTCAAGAGAAGAGCTGGAAGAGAAGTCCAAAAGGGTTGTATCTGCTGAAGAGACCTCAAAAAAACACTTTGGAGAGCTTCCCACTTACGTTGAGGAAGATGATGACATTAACATTTAGGTCCCAAAAGGACAACCAACAATACCTAAGGAACCATGTCAGAAACCTTGGCCTGTTCCCTATGCAAATCAACGAGCGTATGGCCGAGGAAATCAGGATCCATGCCAGAATCAACATAGGCCTCGCAAAAATTTGGGAAGAAGGAACACTCTTCTTCATACAGTTCATGTGTCTTACACTCAGCTTCTGCCACATTCGATTCGAAATTCACTAGTGGAGCCTAAGTCCCTCATGCCGGTTCCAGAACCATAACCTCTTGAGTATGATCCCAAGGCGCATTGTGGGTACCATGCTGGATCAATGGGGCATTCAACAGAAGATTGCAAAGCTTTCCAGGCCATGGTTCAACAATTGATTGATGAGGGATGCATATCTTTTAAGAAGGGAGTTTGGTTGTGCATATCAAGCTCGCACCTGAATGAGTTTGAGGACTTCAAGATGCATCTTCTTAAAATAGCTGATCAAGAGAGAAAAAGCCCAGTTCCTCGATACTGGCAATTTCCATATTATTCCTGCGCATTTGTAGTTCTTTTATGTTAAGTGCTACTTGCTTTTATACATTGTTTCACTACAACATTTGTTGTCTCTGGCAACACTTTTTTAGGTAACATATAAAAATTGTTGCCTAAAATTCGTAAAGGCAACAATTTATGGCCGTTGACAAAAATATATTTGCAACCCTTGATAATCGTTGCCTAAAATATTTTTGGGGACGTTTTTAGAGTGTCACTCTTTTATTTTTTTTGGCAACGATTGTTAAATGTGCCTTTAACTACTTTTGGGGACGATTTTCGAGAGTCATTATACTATTTCTTTAGTAATATTTGATAATTGTCCCCTTAAATACTTTTGGGGACATTTTTAAATTGTTACATTACTTCTAATAAAAGGCTACATTCATTCAATGTTGCATAAAATTTTAGCAACATCAAATTTTTTGTGGCAATCTTCCCTCCAAAATTATCCACTAAAAAAATATTTTCCTCTAAACATTATTAAAAAAAAATTAAATATAAAAAATCATCTAACACATAATATAATAATATTGTAGTATATTGTTATATTATCTGTTAGATAATTTTATATATTTATTATATCATCTAACACATATCTCACATTTAGAGAAAAATATTTTTTAGATAATTTTTTATATTTATAAAATTTTTATTTATTGTTAGGACTAAATATTTTATAATATTACATACCATAACTATTCATGTGAATAAATTTTATAATAAATTAAATATATTTATAAACTTAAAATTTATTAAATAAAAATAAAAATACTGATTAACTAAAAAATTTAAATATAATAATATAATAGTATATTATTCTATTATATGTTAGATAATTTTTTATATTTATTATATCATATAACACATATCTCACATTTAGAGAAAAATATTTTTAAATGATTTTTTATATTTGAATTTTTTATTATTATTTAACACATTCCACCATTTATAAGAAAAATTTTATATAAAAAAATCACTAATCTCTATCTCACGTTTTAGAATAAAATATATATATAAAAAATAGAAAATAGAAAAAAGAAAAAAAACAAGTTCATCCACCCTTTATCATCTCTTCTCTGTTTTTCATTGTTACACCATCATCACCCTAATTTTCTCTCTCCACCTTCACGCGAACTCTCTTTCGTTTTCCTCCCCTTTGTTTCACCTTCGCCATCACTGAATTCATCCCCATTCTTCTTCTCCCAACAACAAACCCTAATAGCCGCCGTCCTCACCATCCCCACCTCATAACCCTTGCTCCTAACCATCTATCCTCCTCACTGAATCAAAATCCCAATCTCGTCGCCGCCAACCTCCGACACCGCAAATACGAAGAAAGGGCCACCCTCAAACGCCTTCTAAACCATCGTGGAGACGTCAACTTATAGTTCTTCAAACTCACGCACAAGTTCCAGCATCTGCGGTGACAACAGTGGAAACGAGCAACCTTAACATAGCCCAGCTTTTCATCAATAACACAATTTGATCTTGCGCTTCTCACACCCAACGACTCCAAGTGACGTCGTCAAGCTTATCACGGTCGCGCACTGTTCGTTTTGTTAACAGGATTTTACTCTGCGACTTATAGTTTTTCCAAGATTTGAGGTATATTATGTTAATATTTATTGATTTCTCTACTAATTGTTCCAATTAGTAGAAGTATTCTCTACAGTACCAACGATTGTGTTGTAACATTAATTCCATTACTAAGCTACAACTTTGAAGCATTACCTTGAGTCATTGAAGTTTAGTAAGCCAACACCATGATATGACTCGTTATCTTTCAAATTTTCAAAATCAATAGTTGCTGATGATTTCTAGTGGTCTTGTGCAAATTGGATACGACGGTCCCGACAGCATGGGAAGCCTAATCAGGGTAGTTAGTGGTCATGGCGGCATTGATGTCTACTTCTTTAAGAGAGCTGGTGTTGTTGTCTTCTACACATCGACCTCATAAGAGAACTTTCCAATCCCTCAATTTTTTCCAATATACGTGATATCTCTCATTTGGCAGGCCTCTTTTAGCATTGAGTTCTCATTTTGTCGTTTTTTAACAGATGTTGCAAGAGAATTAGGATTCAAACCTAAATTTTGTAGTTGTTCCAGCATAGCCTGGTATCTCTTATTCAAGTACTGTATATCATCCTTTATTTGGCGAGTTTCAAGCTTGAGGGCGTTGCTTTCTTCAGCATTTACAGAGAACTCCCGTTCAAGTTTCTCTTTGATCTCCTTCAACTTAGAGATTTCCATTTGCTGTTTTTTTAATGACCTGGTTTGATTTTTTTAGTTGTTCAGCATTTTCTTGCGCATTCAGAATTTCTTTGGGTACGGTCAGAGAAGAAGATACCTTAAATATTCTCCTCGAGTTTGTTCCGGGTGGATCCATATCTTCACTGTTGGGGAAGCTTGGAGCTTTCCCTGAGGCTGTAAGTTCTAGCTACTGAACCAATGTACTTTAGTGATTTTTTATACCAACTATTTTCACTAATTCATTCAACAGGTCATAAGAACTTATACGAAGCAAATATTGCTTGGACTCGAGTACTTGTACAAAAATGGAATCATGCATAGGGACATTAAGGTTGCTTTCTGTATCATCTCATTGATATGCATGTAAGCTTGGTTCTTTTTCAGCTACTGATGTCCAAGTATATATTAATTTCAGGGGGCCAATATTCTTGTAGATAATAAAGGATGCATAAAACTTGCAGATTTTGGAGCATCCAAACAGGTCGTTGAGCTGGTAATACTCTTATCTGCCACTCTACAATTATGGCACTATATGTACGGCGTACGCTTTACCTCTGTGAAGGATATTGTATTTGTATCCTTGTTTAAGAGGTGCATTGTTTTATTCTAGGCTACCATGTCTGGTGCCAAGTCGATGAAGGGTACACCATATTGGATGGCTCCCGAAGTTATTCTCCAGACTGGGCATAGCTTGTAAGGACATTAACCTTCTTCACATATTTTATGATATGCTGCTCTGTATTTAATATACTTAGACATGAAACAAACGGGAGGTTTCTACTAGTCAAATGTCATTCGGTATGTAGCCAAGACTTATTATTTTGTGATTCCAAGGTTTGAGCATTCTATGCGAGTCTAGCATGGCATATCTGGAGTTGCATTACAACAAACTTAGTTATATATTAATTTGACAATGATGACTTCTGTTAAAATAATAGATAGATGCTATATACAAATAGTAAATGAGTGTGTAGAGAGAAAAACAGAATACAGTGTTGAGAAAATGTGGAGGAGATAAAAAGTGTAAAAGAAAAAAAGTTGTGAATCATTGTTTATAGTTACAAGGATTTTCCAAAAATAGAAACCTTTGCTTGAGATATAGAAAAATAGTTAGTGGCAGGAATTTTCAAAATGCCTTCAAGAATAAATATTGATGTTTTCATATGCTGATGCTTCCTTTTCAGCTCTGCTGCCATATGGAATGTGGGTTGTACCGTAATTGAGATGGCCACAGGAAAGCCTCCTTGGAACCAGCAATACCAGCAAGAGGTAGCTTACATTTTGACTCCTTAAATTCTATTTGAGGTAATCTATGAATATTTATATTTACTAGAATAATGGGCTTTCAGGTTGCTGCTCTCTTCCATATAGGGACAACTAAGTCTCATCCACCTATCCCTGATCATCTCTCTGCTGTAGCAAAAGATTTTCTTCTAAAGTGCTTGCAGAAGTATGCTCCTTTTGATTTTCTGCTGCTTTCCATTTATAATGAATGAATATTTGCAGGATAATTGATCATACTAAATGATTTTTTAGGGAACCAATCTTGAGGCTATCAGCATCAGAACTGCTTCAGGTGATTCTATGAGCATTTCTCTTTTGATTCTGCATATGAGCATTGTAGTCATTTTAGTGTTGCTATTGATTTATAGTGGAGCTACTGGAGTCTACTTTGTTATTGTTTTGCATGAGATAATCAACTTCGCCCTGAGATTAACTTTCACGGGCTAACTTCTCTATCATTCGAGTTAGGTTTAAAACAATACGAAGTACATACTTCACGCAGTCTGTTCAACTGCATACTCGGCCTTCCCAATGCAATAACACAATACCAAATAGTTAACGATTCCTTGTTTTTAAGTATGATGGAAAATAACAAAGAGCAAGGTAGGTACATATCTTTAATTTAATTATTCCAGTGGTTTGATTATCATAAATTTTAATAATAAAAAGGCCCTTACCCATACTTCTCTTAGGAAAGTGGGTTGGGGGGTGATGTTATGCGTGCAACCAAAATAAAAATCTTTAAATAGTATATTGGAACGAAAATAGTTGAAAAAAAAGGTGGATATGGATGATTAACTATGAGAGTAGTGAACCAACTTCAACAAATATTAAAGTGGACAGCTGACAGTAGATATAATGCTAGAGTAGATGGAATCAACTTTCAGTGTTACTGGAATAAACCAAATATTTCATTCTTGCCTGAAAAAAAACATTCTTAATCTTTAGGCTGCAGAAAGCCTTGGTATCCAATTGATCAGAAAGAAGTTAAGGAAACAGCTGAGTGTAGTAGTGGAATGTAATTATGTAGGAAGTGACTTTTGACTAAAACTTCGATTTTATCTCAATGCATCCTGGATCATAGTATTATCTTATTAGCCCGTGAGTGCTAGTCTGTTGACATAGTATATCTGTCTTTGATTTCATTATCAAATTCTTGTTTAACTAACTGCAGACCCAATACTTTTATCCACTGTATATTAATATGCAAGTCCCCTCATTATTATCTGTATTAATGAACTCATTTTACCAATAATAGATCCACATTCTTATATTGTTGTCCTTTTGAGTTTGTAAACTAGCATTTCATGGTAGTTGTGCCATTGACGTCCTTATCAATCCAACCCCCATGTCCCATTTTCCAAACCACTAAGCCACCTTATCACTCCTAATATTGCATGGTATAATCTCCTTAAGTTATTGTCATTATGATGTTTTGTGCATAAGTTAGGCCACTATTCTGTGATTATGGGCTAATGAGCGGAAGTTATTTTCTAAGCCCTGATTAATCTGCCTAATTTTCATGTTTCCCCCTTTTTCTGTACAGAACTACCACAATTGAGGAGCGAGACATCTATGGAGCTAGGCTGTGATCCTCATGGCTATTCACGTGCTGGATATGATACAACTATTTGGTATTGTGCTATTGCATTGGGAAGACCGAGTATGGAGTTGAACAGACTGCGTGAAGTATGTACTTTATATTGTTTTAAACCTAACTCGGATGATAGAGAAGTTAGTATACTTTGTAAATTTGATGCAACTCCAGAACTGGAAAATAGAGAAGTTAGTCTGGACACTGATGAAAGTTATAAGTCACGTACTCAATTGCTACTTATCACTTTGTTTAATGCTCCTGTATTACAGGTGTTTGGGTCTCCGAATGACGCTAAGAAGTTAGAGTTTTTATTCTACAACTAGGTCAAACGGCATAAGTGAAAAAGAAAGATTACCAGAAATTCAACATGAGATCTGGTGGGTTACTAGAGCCATACAAAGAGATACTTCTGCATTGTGAGGAGAATTCACATAAACACTAATATGAAAACTGATCTATAGAATAGATGAAAGAGTCTATATTTATGTTTTACATGTACATATTAAGTGTTCATTTTTCCCCACAACAATAGTATAGTGGTAAGCATTTTCATCTGTATAACTTTATATTAAATTAACAAAAGGGAAATCAATATTTCCATCGTTTTTGTCTCTTGCATTGTGTAATTGTTAATTCCAATATGCTTATGATAAATATAATCGTACAATTTTCTCTAGTTTGAAATTTGCATTGTTTTTTTTACTAATTTGGTTGGACAAATGATTATTAGTAATTTGATTGCGACATTTTCTTGCGACTATTTCCTGTGACTTTACCTGCGAAAATTTTGTCAAAATCCGCAGGAAAACTGAGTTTTTCTAGTAGTGACACTTACTAATTGTAACTACATTAGGCAACACTTGAAAAGCGTTATCTTAGAGGCCACGAATAACCGCCCCTATTCTTGTTGTGGCAACACTTAAAAAGCGTCGCCTCAGAGGCCATGAATAATCGTCCCCTATTCCTTTTGTGGCAACACTTAAAAAGCGTCGCCTCAGAGGCCACAAATAATCGTCCCCTATTCCTTTTATTTAGGCAACATTTTTAAAAATCGTGCCCAAAGATCATGAAAAAACGTCCCCTTAGACAATAGGCAACGCTCGCACAGGAGACACCTAGAAAATGTCCCCTATTGTTTTAGGCAACGTTTTTCAGAGTTTTGGCATCGTTTTTCAGTGGTTGCTGAAGAGCCTAAATGTTGTAGTGTTTCTAATTATTGGTATTGTTAATGTGATAATTATGTATGTTTTGAACAAATTCATTCGTATTCACTGACATTTTCTCTTTTATCGCAAAAAATCACAAAAAAAATTCACTTCCTTTATCGTACTGCTGTTTAGCAAAGATTTGAGGGAGGATGACGAAAACAAAATACCCATAATTGTTGATGGTATGCTTTTGGATAAAATTCCGCCGATGATGTACAGACATTGTTTCAAATCCCCAAACACCGGAGAGATAAGGAGTTAGTCCCTAGTTAACCACTTTGAGCCTAGAAGTAGAAGTTTCCTTCGGATTACTAAACCCTTACATTTAACCTGGGGTATGGGTAGTGTTTAGTTAACCTGATTACGCACTCGAATCACGAGATAAAATCCAAAAGACATGACGGTTGTTCACTAATGACCAATGACTTGGCAGTCACAAGCCTTTCAAAAAAAAAATATAAAAAAGCCTGCTAAGTCGAATACCTCAAGAAGAGACTTAGGCAAAAATCAAGGCAATCCCGATGGACTTGAAAAAAATCCAGTCCATGCAAAAGTTAGAGATCAAAAGCAAAATCAAAAGAGGCCCTCAAATCCTCAAGAAAATCAAAATAAGATTCAGTGGCTACTATATCAGAATCCAAAGGGTCACTGACATCCATCAAAAAAACAAAATAAGGGTGACTGCTATTTCAAGCACGCCTTGAATCATCAAGCTTACACCATCAAGCTCTAAGTGCGTATGTAGAATTAACTAAATGTAGGACTGGAGTTCATCACGAAGAAGGGGTGGGTTAAAATTAAATTTTAAGCCTTATATCCTTTGTTTGTATAACCGTGAACCAGATCGCGTTACAACCCTCTAAAGACCTAATTGAGGCGGAGTTTATTCTGAAAGCATACTACAACAAGGTTCCATAAACTGACTCCTACATATTTGCTAATATCCTGTATTGGTGTCATGTCCTTGTTATATCTTTCACACACCAGTAAATTAGCACTGCGTTTGGATTAATAGTCCACTCGTCACACACTTTCATGTCATTCCAATAAATAATCTTTTTCAAAACTTGCATGAATGTCGAATTAAAATTAACATTTTTTGAATGATTAATTTTAACTGCAAATTAGTACTTGACATAATAGAAATTCCAAAAAGGAGCATTCAAAGAGGAATCTGATCATTCACTAATACTAGCTTGAATCAAAACTCTCTTATGACCTTGTGAACCTGGGGCAAGTCCTTCTAAGGTTCAAACAGGGGCAGACAACTACAAGATTCAGACAATGGGCCAAAAGAGCTCAAGCCATGTCTTAGTGTAATCGCTCTCAAAGTTCTCATCCCGGAAGAAAATCCTTCAAATACCCGTCGGACTGGGGTAGACTAGTTGAATTGGGGTAGACTAGTTGGATTGGGGCAGACCAGTTGGACTGGGCAGACTAATTGAACTTGGGCAGACTAATTAAACTGGGGCATATTAGTTGAACAGAGGAAATTTCCCTCTTTGCTTGCAAAGTTGGTCAAGATGACCGTACTAGACACCAGTAATGGTTGAGGTTAACAAACGTCAAAAGCCTTGGGGCTGAGCAAAAGCAAGACTAACATGCCTTGGTTAAGTCACTCCACTCGCTCGATCAAAACGCATTGGTTGAGTCGCTACGCTCGCACAATCCATATGCATTGGTTAAATCGCTACGCTCGCACGACTAACATGCATTGGTTAATTTGCTACGCTAGCATAGTCAACATGCTTTGGATAAGTCTCTATGCTCGCGCAATCAACATGCACTACGCCAGAAATGACTTTTAGCAGCGCAACAAAAGACAACGCTTTCTAAAAAAGCGCTGCTAAAGGGTCATGAAAAAAAAACAAAAAAATAGCATACCTAAGACAGCGCTTGTTAAAAAAGCGCTGCTAAAGGGGGGGGGGGGGGGGGTCAAAGAAAGCGCTTTAAAAAGCGCTGCCAAAGGGGGGGGGTCTACGAAAGCGCTTTAAAAAAAGCGCTGCTAAAGGGGGTTCTAAGGAAGACCTATAGCAGCGCTTTTAAAAGCGCTGCTAAATGCCAAAAAAAGTGCTGCTAAAGGGGGTCCTAAGGCAGACCTATAGCAGCGCTTTTAAAAGCGCTGCTAAATGCCAAAAAAAGCGCTGCTAAAGGGGGTCCTAAGGCAGACCTATAGCAGCGCTTTTAAAAGCGCTGCTAAATGCCAAAAAAAGCGCTGCTATAGGTTTAAGTAGCATAAATTAAAAAAATCCCAATATTTTCGCAGAATCAGAACAATCTTCTTCTTTCTTATTTCCACTCGCGAACGTTGCCCTATTCAGAATTAGAACAGTCACCATCGATGCATTCCATCTGCGCCTTCGTCCGTCGCTTTTCCTCCGGTCATTCCGTCGTCACCTCATTCTGCCGCCGTCTGTCCATTTTTGACGGTCATCTCCGTCCTCCACCAGCGCATTTCCACCATTTTAAGGTATTTGAAGTTTTTCATTTTCCATTTTTATTGTTCTCATAGTTGAATGCATTGTTAGAGTTTGAATCTTTTAGTTGCTTTAGGTTGTTCTCATATAATATTTGAACTAATATTATATTCTGTTTTTAACATTCTCCATAACCATTCCATAACTGTCTCACATTCCAAAACTATCTCACATTCTCTTAATACATAACATATGTAGTGTAGAATTGGAAATATAATAGTTATGATGTGTTGCTATCTGTGGTATAGATTGATTAAGGTCTCATGCTTGTTCGACTCGCTATTGCCGCTAATGTTTGCATTGATTAATTTCATTGTGCGAAAAATATTGGTTAAAAAGTGTTGCTGTTAGTCTCCTTATTTCTTCTGCTAGTTACAAAAGTTGAAAAACAACGAAGGAAAATTGTTATGTGGTTCATTGTTTCAGTGAATATTTCAGTTTTGATTTGGTTGACATAAGGAGTAGGATTCAAAAGAAAGAGCCTAGCTAAATCCACCTATTTATGTCTCTTTCACATTCCTTTTGAGACAATTTCATACACTTGTTGGATAGTGAAGTTTTGTAATGAAAAATAATGGAATATGAAAAAGATTCAGCATATTTCACCCATGCATTTGGAAATATATCAACATGTCAGAATTAATAAAAAAAGAAGCTAGAAGAGATGCTTATTTTGATACTTTTGGTCAAGAAAAATGTTTAATTTATTAAGAACAATTGGCACTATCCGGCTTTAAAACAAAACAATACAGATTATATTATACTTAGTTTATGCATTGTCACTTATTTTTTTATAGTTTTTTCTGAATATTTTATCAATCATATTTTGCAAATGAATATGGAAACTTTCCACCACTGCAGCTAAAGTATGCTGAAATTTCCATAACCTTACATCCTACATGCTAAATTTGATTTGAATATTCCAACATTTTCTCTTCAATATATATATATATATATATATATATATATATATATATATATATATATATATATATATATATATATATATATATATATATATATATATATATATATATATATATATATATATATATATATATATATATATATATATATATATATATATATATATATATATATATATATATATATATATATATATATATATATATATATATATATATATATATATATATATATATATATATATATATATATATATATATATATATATATATATATATATATATATATATATATATATATATATATATATAAATTTCTAACTTGAACTTCTATGCTTTATTTTTTTCTTCATTTTTGCAGATCAGGTGATGTACAGTACACATTGCAGTTTCATAAATATGTTAATCAATATATATATATATATATATATATATATATATATATATATATATATATATATATATATATATATATATATATATATATATATATATATATATATATATATATATATATATATATATATATATATATATATATATATATATATATATATATATATATATATATATAAAGTTAAAAGAGTGACATGAAAAATCATGGCAGGGTAAATAAATCTTGCTATGTGATGCTGACATTGTTGTATATAGGAATGTCCAAAGGAGCCATTGCTGGCATAGTTGTTGGAGGAGCTTTTGGGATTTTACTTTT